ATACACGTATATATACATAATATAAAGCTGCATAGTAAATTCTGTTCGACGAACGTGGGATTAACAAACGCCGTCTGATCGAAGGACGAGTGACCCTCGTCTCTTAATCATAACAAAACCAAATGTTACTCGATGATAACTGTATTAGGGCCAATAAAATACTAGACTTGCACCCTCTGGCTTCCCGTTTGTTTGCTGAGCCGAAACGTCCCGCCGCGCAAACATTCGCGCAGGTCGTACAAGTCGCTATCTTCTTTCCCCCAGAAAACTACGGTCGCGTGAGTGACATTACAGGATTATTAGCGGACAGGGAACTCCGCAGGCGTCTCTTATATCGAGAGCAGTCGCCTACATATTTGATGAACAATGACTATACAACGAGGCACGCATTATCATCACTCTTTTTCGTTCCCCGCCCCGCGCGAAACTATTTCAGAACCAATATTTCAGTTAAGTATCGAGAATATATCTTTCCTCTGAACAATTTTCAGCACAGATTTACAATATTTTTCATATAACGGACGATGAGAATTTATTGCGATGAGAAGTTCAAGTACACACAGTAATGCATAAAAAATAATAATTCAATTAACGAAAAATTTTCTGAGATTTTTTGTTTTCTTAATTACGGCCCAAATGCGGTCGTGGCCATTAACGTAATTATCGACAATTATATAATTTAAAACGGACGGTAGCCAGTTGACGTAACATCGAATTATTAAACGAAGCGATACTGTGAGCATTGCTTTTATCGTCACATATTAATTTAGCGTTGACTCACCGAGTTAATGGCTGTCATGCTGCTAACTCGACCTGGATCTGTGTCCACTAGCCCGCTGTCACTCTGTAACAGAAACGGAAAGATAGCAATTTAGAAGATAGAAAGGATCGATCATTTCTCTTACTGTTATTCACGCTTGTATTTCTGTACCGCGAATCGCCCGTAAAAGCACGTTCGCATTCGTAGAAACGGAAAAGAGACTCATTCAAAGAAGGTATTTTCATATCGCTGTTTATATGTTTTTCGAAGCATCGAGGCAAATAGTTTTCGAATGCAAAATTGCAAGCGGCGCGTATTGTTAATAATTTTGAAAATGCAATATTGTGGAAAGTAAACAGCATTCATATGAAAATCATTCGCGCTGTGAAATCTCGACGCATGTGCAAAACCCGAGTGCACTCCACCGTCCGCTATGAAATTTTCCGTAATCACTTGCCGTTAGAACTGAGTTTCATCAAAACGTACGCTGTTTTTCCGTTCTCTGTTAATTATTGCTTCATGACGAATTAATCAAAATCACGTTTCACGTTTAAGCAACTGTAAAATCTATCCTAAAATTAAAATAAATATGAATATTACATAAATTCATCCATCCTTTCCATCCAAATACCTCCGTACGTATCTTCCGTGTTACTAAAAGTAAATAAATTCTTACACGGACGCGAAAATATCTCAAATTTCGTTCGACAGTGTAGCTCGAATTACACGAAGTAACGTGGAAACACGATATCGAAACGAATATGAAATACTTCAAACAAACGCTCTTGTCGAGCAAAGGCTCTCGAAGACTCTGCGGCATTTTTCCCCCCGTCGGTCAACGTTTTAAACATTCTTTACACTCTGTATATTGCATTTTATGATCGTCTGTTTCTTTCACTCCCTACCGTTTGGCGTTTCAAGCTTGCCAAGCTCGCCAACGCGGCGCGCCAGCGAAGCGCGTTTGTCGGATTCGTCCGCGAATTTTTCCCGTCCGATGTAACATCTGTCCTAGGAAACATTCGAGCCTGCCATCGGTGACTCCCGATGGACTTCCGGGATAGCGGAAGCCGGGATTATCGAGACGGAAATTCTTCGGGAAGAAAATGACGGCGAGTCATTCGAGCGTGTCGAGCGAGAGAGGGAATACGTTGATGACGAGGACAACGACAACGACGTCGACGTTGACGTCGACATCGAGAGAAACCAAGAAGCCGGCCTTGTAGAAGGTGTACCGAAGAAATAGTATAAAGGATGGGGGCGGCGATGGCGGTGGCGGCTGCAGAACCGAGACGAAAGAGCCGACGTGCAAATGTCGTTCTGAACTTTGATCGTAAAACAGCGGCAGACTTCTCGGATGGGTGGAGCATCCGTCTTGAACCGCTGCCAAATCGGTTAAGCGCGAATAAATTTCCGTGTCAAACTTCGTATGAACGAAGGAGTCGACGATTCCTGTGGGTCGGACAAGGTTGGACCTGCGCTGGCGGAACGTAATGTCTACACAAGCGAAAGAGAGCTTAAAAAAGAAAAAAAAAAAGAAAAAAAGAAAAAGAAAAAAATATATTCGTATCAATAATAATATCAATTGTACAATATGTTATAAGGATATATTGTCTCTTTAACGATAGGTTTTTAATATTAGTAATGCAAACTTAAAAATTACAAAAGAATCTTGAAGAATCTTGTAAATTGCTTCAAATTTAGTATTTAATCAAAGTTCCATAAAAAAATTAAAGTTATCACTTGTCAGAAAAGTTCATTTAAAATAAAAGCTTTCGAGACAATAAAATATCATTTTGTAAGAGCATAATTTAGACGTCTTAAAAGAATTAATCATTAATTTAATATGAACTTATTGTTTTCTCGATTACTATGAGTAACGTATGTGGCGCTTTCGTAGACCAACCGGCCATATAATAAACGGTAATAAAAACCGAAAGCGCGGTATAGCGAGAAATTTCCCTCGAGTCATTCCATCTCGAATAAAAGCTCGGCTTACATATTGTTCTAACGAGCAGAGAGCAGAGAGCTCGCGTATAATGAATAAACAGCAAACGCGGATGGGAGTTTTGCGCTACGCCATTACGTGCCAACGTTGCGAAACGCGTGGCAAAAAGACGTACCTAACTGTCGGCTTGTCTAACAGAGGTAAACGAAGGGTAACCGAGGCACGACGAAGATGTAAAGGTGTCGTCCCGGGATGCCCGAGGAATACAAAGTCGCGGCTGTGTAGCGGCTAAAACGAAACGGCGAAAAGTCATAAAGCGAAATTATGACCGCCTCATATTAATTCACGGCGAGGCGCGACCGGCGCGAAATCGCCATCGACTTTCCTTCAACGGATTTATGACATGCACATTGTTTCGCTGTGCAGTTTTACCAATCGGCGAAAAAACCTACGACAATCAATTGTCGGAATAATGTTTGAGTAATAATCTATTATACTAATTTGACAATTGCACGACGTTAATATAAAAAAATAAATGTTAATTAATCAATAATATAAAAGACTGATAAAAATATCGCAAAATAAATATATATCAAAGCAGACGTAGACGAGAGAGGTTAATTGCACTACATGAAAATCTTTCACAATTTTCAGCTAATTCATCATCGAGCACTTATCACTTGTAAAGTATCTCGCCGTGATAATACGAGTTTCAATTAAGTATATTATTTCCTCGATTTACCTCAATTTTATTTACACGTATTTATTAACATAAGAATTAATGCTCTCGCACGGCGAGAGTTAAAGCGCCGGCCGATATGCGAGCGCCCCAATTTCGGTGTTGTTGGTAGAGTCTATTCAACAGCGATCTGTCTGCGATCCTGCGGTCAGGTCGATTATGCGACATCACGAAGCGGAATGAGAATTCTAGAGTACGTCAACGCATTGTCGAGCGACACACAGAGCAAACGCGAAAGGTCGTCGGAGCTTCATTACGCTCTAGCTCGACAGCCGAGAGAGAGAGAGAGAGAGAGAGAGAGAGAGCCGAAGTTAGGCGAATGTTATTAACGTTGTACCT